AGTGTCACAAAAGAGATACAAGAATAGAAAGAACGTCTCAGATTTCTTACCCTGTCAGAATTAGATTTACATCATGAGGATTCCAATCAACACAATGAATATCAGCATTATGAGCTTTTTCAACCTGCCCTTACAACAGAAAAAGCAAAAGCCGACCAAAGTCAAATTTAAAACTATGGCAGAAAAGCAATCTTAATTCCCTAGCAAGGACCGCTAGTTTGGGTCCTCAAGACATCAATTCTTCTTCATAGATGCCTTCTCCAAATGATGAAATCATACAAAAGATACTTTAAATCTCAGCAAGAAAAATATCAAAACAGAGCAGAAAACTGAAACAAAACAGATAAATATGCAGCACACAACAATAACCTTCACTGCTGGAGAAGAGCCAGTTCTGGCATCCCATAGTACAAGGCATGAATCATCGCCAACACTGCAGAACTCCTGTGCACTACAAATACAGAATATACAGGAAAGATTCAGGAAATGTGGAGGGCTTCTTTACTGCTTCACAGAATATCACAGAATATCTTCAGTGGCAATTTCAGTAGATCACTCAGAATAAAAAACTTAACACATAACCCATGCATTTTTTACTAGATCATGTCAGTTACCTTGATGGGCAGAACTGAACATCTTCAACAGTATCCTCATGCCCTAGGAAGATGCCCCGTGGCCCAATAGAGGGGCTCTCAGTGGGTTTATCATTACTCCCACCACTCTTAGTAGCGCTTTTAGTATTGGCACCAGCAGATCCTGGAGACTTTGTGGAAGCTGGTTCTGCCGCCAAAGTTGATACATAATCTTGAATGCTCCATAAAACAACTGACTTGTCCTTACCTGTCTTAAAAATCACCTCAATCAAAAAGATAATTTGGCAAGAAATTCCACAGAAATACAGAGTCCTAAAATATTGACAACCAACCTTACCAGATAAAATACCAAAAAATAATGCAACTAATATTCCTTAACTGCTGGCAAATTTAGGGTCCGTTTGATTCATTATTCTTATACTTTTTAGAATAATATTTTGAAAAAAGTAAAATTGGGTTATGTTTACGAGAAAGGTAATTATTAATGTTTTGTGAGATGAATAAAATAGAATAAGATTTTGAGAATATTGAAGCAAATGCATTTTTGAGTTTTAACTTTATTGGGAAAACCAGAATAATATTTGGAAGAGTGTACCAAATGAAGCCTTAATGATTAAACCACACAATAAACAGAAACCTCAAGAAATAAGAAAGAAAGAACCTCCAGAAAGCACAAAGGGCTCAGTTGGACTCATAGCAAGAGCAAATTCAGCATTATCATGGTGCCCAGTCAATATCTGCAAGATGACATACTCTAGGTTAGCAAGGCCCTATTTGGAAAGAGGAGAATCAATAACAATACTGTGGAAGCAGCTGAACTGTCTCTTATGTCTATGCATATGTACACTTTTTTAAATTCTAAATGGCCAAATACCAGCTAAACACTTAATTAAATATAAAATCATAATTGCAAATAAACAATGGTGATGATAAAAATTATTAATTAACAATAGTGCACCAGATCAGGACGAGACTCTGTAGCTCCCAGGACAGCATGACGATTGGGCTGAGCCTCAACATCCCAAATGAGTACCTATTTTGAAAATCAAACTCAATTTACATTTAGCTTCATCAATTTATAAACCTCAAATTCAAATAGAATAATATAATTCTAAGCCTTAAGACACTTGATTCTCTTCAAGTAACACATGAGATGGCTGCTTACATCAGGACTATCAGTGTGCGTGGCTACTATTTTGCTGTTTTGTGGGAGTTCCCTGATTCTGTTCACCTGCGAAATTATAACTGTAGATGCTAAAAAGCTTCTCTTGAAAGCTAAAATACTAAATCATACTTCACATTAAAGTCAACAAATTACCCATGAGAACTCATACAGCCAGAAAGACCAGAAAACGAAAAAGAAAAGGTGGTAGATACCTCGCCGGGATGAATAATTGTTTTATACTTCTTCACAAATGGAGAACGTGCTTCTTCATTGAACTGTAAGATCAAGAGAGGAAAGATACAATAAGTACTCAATATACCAAGCAAAGCCAATGCAATCAAACAGTGAATAAAATGATGAAGTGGGGGAACAAAACGGAAAAAGATTAGCAGTGGTTATTTACAAAAACATCACCTGGGCTATGTGCTCCGCAGCTGCAACCCTAGGTTTAACAATCTCACAGTTTGCTATTACAAGTGTATTTGGAACACTGCCATCGGTCTAGGTACAAAAAAACGAAAACAAAACAAGAGGAATAATCAATAACCCACAACAGAAAATGATGAAAGCTGTGCAAATAAAAAAACAAGACACATATATATAAATTATGCCATCTAGATAATAAGGCAGGGATTACAATGCCAAAGAACACAAACATTGGCTAAAATCAGTGCTGAGCTCAGTAATGTGAAAATTTCAGATTGTCTACCAGCATGACACATATTGTTGCTGAGCCTCATAAGAGCACCAAATTTCCAACTCTTTGCAACTAGAGTTGGCTTTATGCACATCTAAATCTGAAAGCCACCAGTTTCCAAAGAGGACAAGATATTAACTATACTAAACAAAATTTCTGCCGGGTTCTTTTCATTGACAGTATAAATCCTAATCAGAGGAAGACATCAAGTAACTTAAAAATAAACAGAAGTACAGTGAAGTGCTTTTCAACAAGAGTCACTTGCCTGTTCAGAAAGGTAAAGACGCTGACGATTCTTGTAGGTAGCTTGTTCAAGTTGTGGACCCCATCTATTAATAGAAATTTACAGAATGATTAGATATTCACTTGAAGATTGAACTTTGACTAAAAAGAGTGTCAAGCATTTTCATTGCACCAACAACAAATGCATACACACAAATATATACACATGCAATAATCAATTAAGGTATGGCTAAATGATATTTATAAGAGAAACTATCTTCAACATGCGTCTCCTTTCTTTCCGTCAATATACACCATACAGTTACTAAGAAAATTTATGAAAATATAAGCCAAAAGTTCAAATATTTAATATTATTTAATACTAAAGTTTTAGTAGTTAAAGAGAACAACTACTTCTATGCAACCCTGCTTCATTACCTAATATTTCTAAGTTTTTAGCAGTTAAACATAAATATAAAATAAACTTTTGCAATTTTTCTTCTTTTAAATTTCATCTTCAAACAACCAGAGGTTTAAATCTGACAAAAACCACACTAGAACATACAAAATACATAAAATACCTATCCGTAGTAAAGAGGCAAAAATGAAAAATAAAACAGCAAAAATGACAAAGGGGCAAAGTGAGTGAGGAGCACAAAAGAGGTCGCAGTGAGCGAAAAATTGTTTGTATTTTTTTTTTCCCAGAAAAGGACATTAGAATTATACATTTCATATTCTTTTTCTCTCCAACATTTTCTCATCAACCAAACATATCATTAACTAAGAATTAAAGAGCGTTTTTCTTTATAAAAACAATAAAAGAGTGGGAAAAAAAAAAGAAAACACCAAGCCAAACTCTGACATTTAGCATGGTTAGGAGACTTTTTGTCATTCTATCTAAACCCAAAAGAACATAATTCTTAACATACTGCATACAAATATAAAATTCTATTGTCCTTTTGTCCCTCAATTTTCGCAACCAAACAGGATACCTAGGAAAAGCTAGCCACTTAACCAAACCTCACTTTTTCTTTTGGATAAACCAGAAATGAACAGCTCTTCTCCGAGAAGGCATCAACGAGGAATCAAACCCAGACCCTGTGGAAGCAAACTACAGCCTTGGACACCAAAAAAGCCCCCAGTTTCACTTAACTAACTATAAACAAAAACTATAACATTAAAACCCCAAAAAAACAAAAACAGAAAAAAATCTATGTGCATAAACAGGTATACAAGATACATTCCAGCATTACCAGACATTCTTCCCTTTATCTCCACATTTCAAAAAACCATTAAAGAAAAGGAACAAAAAGTTCTAAAAAGTGTCCTTTTTTCTCCTCCTAATCATAAACAGCAGCCATGAAAATCAAAAGCAGCAGAGCTTGGTGAAGAAAGAAAACGAGAGAGAGAGAGAGGGAGAGAGAAAGAGTGTGTGTGTGTGTGAGTGAACAGACCAGCAAGAACATAATCCTGACAAAATATAAAATTTTCTTTTCCTTCTTTTTCCCTTACTTGTCCGAAAAACCAAACAGACAAACTAGAAAAAGCTAGTGCCATAACCTGCACACGTTCCAACATAATCACACATTCTTTCCTCCAGAACTTCAAACACCCTCCAAAAGGGCCAAAAACCCTAAAAAAGTAAACTTTCTTCTCCTCCTACGTTGTATTTTCATCAAAAGTTGCCATGAAGATCAAAAGCAAAAACACAACACATGCAGAAGAGCTAGTAGCCCCACATAAGAGAAGCGTAAAACAAGTATACATTTTAGAATCATCACACACTCTTCACATTTTCCTCCAAAATCCAAACACTCACCCGAGAAAAATGAGTCAAGAAAGCTAAAAAGAGCAAACTTTCTTCTCCTCCACTACTAAATATCCATAAAAAAACAGCCAAGAAGATCAAAACCAAAAACACAACACACTTAGAAGAGCTTTCTGCCAAAAAGAAAAAAAGAGAAAGAGTGTGTACAGACATCCTTTTCTTTTTTCTCCAAAATTCCAAACACCCACATTAGAAAAAAAGGGTCAATAAACCCTAAAAAAGCAAACTTTGTTCTCCTCCAACACTAAATTTCCATTAAAAACAACCATGAAGATCGAAAGCAAAAGCCCAACACGCTCAGAACAACTTTCCACCAAAAAGGAAAAAAAAAAAAAAAAAAAAAACAGAAAACAAGAAAAATACAGTGTGAGTGAGAAACAGAGAAACTGTACGGACCGGCAAGAGAGGGAGGGCCAAACGAGGTTGTGATTGGCAAGCCAATCGTAGAGGACGGGAACTAAACTCTTCCATTGAGTGTATCTTTCATCTACAGATCTTTCCATTCCTTTCATTCTTTCTTTCATTTTCTCTTCGATTTTCTTGTCTTTTTCTTTCGTTTTCCCGCCGCTTCTGTGTGTTTGGGAGGGACCGAGGGGCAGAGGAAAGAGAGTTAAAATGTGAAGTAAATGAGAGCTGAACTGGGTAGAAGAAGACAAGACAAGAGAGTGTGTGGTGAAGACAGCGGACCCCCACAAGACAGGACGCCTTTTTGCACTACAGTACTGTTGTTCTTTTTCAGTAATATTTTTTTGAAAGAAATTATTTCTGGAAAGATAAAAACGGCGTCGTTAGCAAGGAAACAAAACGCTGCGTTTCTTCACAGATTGAAGACTCAGCCACGATAAATACCGTTTGATTTAAAAAATGGAAACCGAGAAAGCTGAAGCTCTGAAACCATTTCCCTTTTTCTTCAATTTTTATAGATGGAAATCTCCGGTGAAGACGGTTCAAAAATCTCAATAAAACCCAATTCTAAGACTGTGTTTGGAAGAGGTTCAGGGTTCAACACCAGAGACCGTACAGTCTCTCGCCGTCACGTGGTGTTTTCACTGAAAGACTCCGGCGAGACTGAAACGGGGCCCAGAGCTAGTTTCGAAGTGATAGGGAAGAACCCCATCTGGGTTCGGAGCGGAAAGAGCGGGAAAGTCGAGATTTTTAGGAGGTTGGAGAAGGGTGACGTTGCGGCCGGTGATTGGGTTTGTTTTGGCGGTCAAAGTGAAAGGCCGGTTTGGTTTGCTGTAAATAGGAATGAGTTTGAAGGGGAAGAGAAGGATGATAACACCGAGTCAAGTGAGTTGAGTTTGAATTTGGACAGTGTTGATGTGTCAAATGTTGACCCTGTTAAAGGTATGAATTTTAGGGTTGTTTTGTAAAATTTTAGAACATTTAAATGTCTTTTGAAGGATTTTTTTTTTTTTTTTGGCTATTATTTGTTTTGGGTTGTTTTGATTCTATTATTTGTTTTGGGTTGTTTTGATCATGGTGCTTAGAGGTAATTGTTTTGGGAGTGAATTTTTGGAAGCTCATTTGCTTGCTTAAGAAGGATTTGTTTTTGTGGTGTTTTAGAGGTGCATTTGTAGAAAGTATTTCAGGTGATGCTTTCTCCCAAAAAAGTGCTTTTATGAAGAACCGACTATCCAGAATTTACTTAAATTTTTATTTATTTATTTATTTCTTCTGTTTTGGTCCTGAAAACGTGAATTTTTAGGAAGAGAATATGTTTTTTGACAATGCATTTCCAGGGAGAAGTGTTTCAAGTGATTTCCATTTGTTTTGTAGAAGCACTTTTGGATATGAGCGTTTAAATGTTTCCTTTTCTCATTCTAATCTCAGTATTTAGCCATAGGTTTTCCCTTTTTCTATATACTTTTCTGTTTAGTTTTACAAAAGATATTTGCAAATATGTGGTTTGGGATCACCACCCCTTCACTACATATTTGTTGCAGAGAAATCTCCTTGTATCATTTTAATGAACTTTCCTGCGGTTGTCGTGGTCTATTCTTATTTTGTGCATTTGCCAGCATAATGGAAGTTTTGTTGACTGAATATTAGTGAAGCAGATTATCTATTTTAAGATCATATTTTGGTATTTTGGATATGCAAGTGATACAGAGTTTGATACTCACTGTAGAATATACTGTGAAATGCAGAGTTTGGTTTTCTTGCGATTGGGCATGAGTTTGATCAGTATCCCAAGGGAAGGATCTGTGATATAAGTAAATGGGACTGGTTTGTTGAGGAACCCAGAAGAGATAGCGATGAAGACGATGAGGCTTCTGATAAAAGGAAGAAGAGGGGTGTGAGAAGAAACAGAGGGAAATCTAAAGACAATGGTGATGATGAAGATGACTGGATGGGAGAAAGCGAAGAAGATGAAGAGCTAATTACGAAAGTACAGAAGGTTCAGAGACCAACATATTCTACCAGATCAAAGGACCGTGGCAAAGCACAACAGGGTACAAAAGATAGCAAAATTTTGGCACAAAAAAATCCGACCCCTGCAAAGGGAGATGAGACTGATGACGAAGACGATCCTACATTGGGGGGCTTTATACTTGATGATGAAGATATGGAAATAGATCAGGAAACTGATACGGATGAAGAAGAGGAAGAGGAAGAATTTGATGATGATGATTAAATAGATGATTTTGGAAATTAGAAGTAGAGTATAGTTTTTTGGAGTTATGCCAGTATGGTTACAACATAATAATTCTTTCTTTAGTGGTTTGTAAGCAGAAACATAAAAAACTAGCGTAGTTTACACGTGTAAGTATATATATGTATTCTCTGTTATGTAAAACAACTCTTTGGTTTGCCAGCACTAATTTTCAGTATTTACTTTTAATTAATAGCCTGTTTGGTTAATAATTTCCATAATGTTTTTATCTATTTTTTGGTCAAAGTATTATTAAGAATAGTTTTTGGTGAATTACAGAATCATTGAAATATAACAAGTAAGATGCATGAAGAAAAGAATATAAGAATTGCTTTGGGAACACTCAATACCTGAAGAGGCATGAAAGCAAACTCATAAATGCAATAGTTTGCTTGAGCCATCAAGTGAAGAATCTCTTGGCTGTTTATGACCTTCAATATAAGAACTAAATGAAAGGTAGAATTATCACAACACAAATACATCAAACATATCAACTTTCCATTTCCATTTGCAATTCAAACTTTAGCATGGCTGATGCAATTGTTGCCGCTGTCTTTGAGCAACTGGCTTCAATCCTTCAGCAGCAAATAATCCAAGGGTGTACATCACTTGGAGGCGTTGATGAAGATGTTCGAAAGCTCGAAAGAAATTTCCAGGCCATTGGAGCAGTGCTCAACGATGTAGGGATGCTAGAGAGCACACGCGGGCATGTTGTGAGAGATCAGCTGCAAAAGCTTAGAGAAATATCCTATGACATAGAAGATGTGTTGGATAAGTGGAAGACAGGGATGCAAAAATTGCAAATGCAGGAAGCTGAGGTATTTCCTCTCAACCGTGTTTCTGGTTTTCTTTCTAGACATGTTCTACGTTATTCTGTTTCTTTGAAGATAGAAAACATAAATAAAGCACTAGATGATGTTGATTGGGAAAGAAATAGGTTGAATTTTAGGGTGATGAATGGCCACAAAGAACCAGAAAGATATATATCTTCCTCTTTTATTGATGTATTAGGGGTTCATGGAAGAGATCAGGAGAGGAGTATGATAGTAAACTTGTTGTTGAGTGAGAGTAGTCAAGGAGCAAACGTCTCTACCATTTCTATAGTAGGGATGGAAGGAGTTGGAAAGAAAACTCTTGCTCAATTAGTTTTTAATGATAGTGTCGTGAAGAGTCATTTCGAGAAACAAATATGGGTATGTGTCACACACTTGTTCAGTGAGATTAAGATTGCTAAAGCAATCCTTGAATCTCTTATTGGTGTTGCAACACTTCTAGTTGAATTGAAAACTATTTTGCATCACATACGTCATTTTGTTAAAGGAAAGAAGTTCCTTCTTGTCTTAGATGATGTATGGTCTGAAGATTTTACAAGTTGGGAACTTTTAAAAGTTCTTAACTATGGTTCCCAAGGAAGTAAGATTCTGGTGACCAGATGTAAAGAAAATCTTGCAAACATTATGGGAACCTCAAACATCTTCCCAATAGGTGTGTTGTCTAGGGAGGGATGTTGGTCGTTGTTTAGTCAACTTGCTTTTTTCAGAAGGACCTACGAAGACCGTGAAAACCTAGAAGATATCGGTAGAAAAATTGTAGGCAAATGCAGGGGTTTTCCTTTTGCTGTAAAGATTTTAGGAAGTCTCTTGTGCTTTAAAAGGAAAGTTGCAGATTGGAAAATGGTCTTAGATAGTGATATATGGGAATTAGAAGAGGAAGAAATAGAGGTTTTCAAGCCTTTATTGTTGAGCTACTATGATTTACCTTCTCCATTGAGAAAATGCTTCTCATATTGTGCCATTTTTCCGAAAGGCTATGAGATAGAAAAAGATAGGTTGATCAAATTGTGGATGGCTCAAAACTATCTTTTGACGGATCAAAATACAGATTTGGAATCAGCTGGTGAAAATTACTTTAAAAGCTTAGCAATGCGCTCATTTTTTCAAGATTTTAGGAAAGATTATTCTGATGGAAGGATAATAGCATGCAAAATGCACAATCTAGTGCATGAGTTTGCTCAGCGTCTTTCAAAGAATGTATGTTTTTCTATAGAAGTTGGTGACCCTCAAGAGTCTAGATTAGAGTCTTATGACAAAGCTCGACATTCAATGATAATGCTTGAAGAAAAAGGCTTGTTTCCTACTTCCATTTTTAATGGAAGAAAATTAAGTAGCCTTATGGTTGAGTGTAGAGGTAGTTTTATGACTGGAGTTGTTTTATCACAATTATTTGATAAGTTCAAATGTCTAAGGTCGTTAGATTTGAGTAAGCCTCCTGGTTGCCACAAAAATCCTGTGAAAGAGCTTCCAGGAGGAATAAAAAAGCTGACACATCTCAGATACCTGAACTTGTCTAATAACACAAAGATGAAGGTATTCCCTGAGGCACTGTGTGATTTATTTAATCTTCAAACCTTGGACATTACTTCTTGCTGTAATCTCCAAAAACTACCTCAAGGGATGGGAAAGTTAATCAACTTGCGGCATTTAATGAACAGTCGGACTCATTCACTGAGTTATATGCCAAGAGGAATTGAGCGATTAACTTGTCTTCGAACATTAAAGGGATTTGTTGTGGGCAGTGGTGGCCATGGTAATAAAGAATGTAGCCTTGAATGTCTGCAAAATCTGAGTCATCTTCAAGGGTCTTTCTTTATAAGAGGATTGGGAAATGTGGTAGATGCAAGTGGGGCTAAGAAAGTAGAACTTCAGAATAAGAGAAACCTCGTTCGTTTGGATCTAAAATTCAATGGGAAGAAGAATAAGTGTGATGAATTAGTTCTTGAAGCGTTACAACCACCTACAGGATTGCAGAGTTTGGGGATATATGATTATAAAAGCAAAACTGTGTTTCCAAATTGGATGATGGCTTTAACCAAGCTGAGCATTTTAAGATTGGATCGTTGCATTTATTGTGAGCATCTGCCTCCTTTGGGAAAGTTGTCATCTCTTGAGTCACTCTTTATATGGAATATGAGGAGTGTGAAAAGAGTTGGCAATGAATTTTTGGGAATAGAAAGTGTTGGTGCATCATCAGCCATTGCCTTCCCGAAATTGAAATCGCTGGACTTCTGGATGGCGGAAGAATGGGAAGAATGGGATTATGAGATAGCCAGACGAGAAGAAATAGATATTGCAATCATGCCATGTCTTTGCTCCTTAACAATTCGATCCTGCAACAAATTAAAGGATTTGCCAGACCACCTCCTTCAGACAACAACGCTGAAAGAGTTGCGGATCTATGACTGCCATAAACTGCAAAATCGTTACAGAAAGGAGACAGGAGAAGATTGGTCCCAGATCTCTCATATTCCTAATGTCACGGTTGAGGATCAATTCATGCCTTATCTTTCACATTCCAAACATCATGATTAATCTTCATTGACATGCAGGTAACTTCTTTTAATTTGACCTTTTTATTTATTCATTACTCTTACAACAAGCAACAATCATCTTTTCCACCTTTTGTTTTCTCTAATGGGTTCTTTTGCTGTGTTGACAGCACTTTTTCTTTCAATTGTAAAAGATAGTGAGCGCATGTTCATCTGTGAGGTAATGTCTACTTTATGCATAAAATGGATGAGAAGATGTAGTTAGGTGGATTTTGATTATGCTACTTGTTTTTCATTAACGTCTTTAGAAATTCTTTTGATCACCTTCCCATTGACTTGTGGTTCAATCTTGATTTTTAATCAAATGAAGGGTCTCTCTATTTTGATACAATATGTATGCTATGAGAAGTAAAATATGCATTCTTTTGCAGTACTTATTCAAGGTACAATGTATTCTGAAGCAAGGGGTTGAATGACATAAAATCATTATACGTTGTAATATGATTTTTAGGCCTTCCCACTATGAAATACAATTGATACTTTCAGTACTAAACATCTCTTTCTTTAGGAATCCATCAGGGTATGCTAATCCTCTTGCTGTATTATTTCATTGATTCGAGCTTGTTTCATGCTCCAGGCACTCAGGCTTGTGATCTTTACCTTCTCAGTTCCATAATTGAAAGCATACAAGTGGGCTTCTTCATCAATTGCCAAAGTTGGATAGACTCTAGCTGTGATGCAAGCTTTGCCACCTGCGCCGAAGCTCTCCACTATAGAGTGATCAATCTGTAGAAGTGATGAAGTAGAAGTGCACTAAATTAACTGCTGGATTTCTAATAAGTTCAATAGTTGTAAAATAATGTTCATGTATCATGATCAACTTGATAATCTCTAGAAGTTATGTCTTAAAGTTTATAGTGTATTCTTATGCGATTATTTCAACTCACCAGGCTCCTTAATGACAGCTTTTCATGAACTGGATCCACATCCAGAAAAGCTCCATAAGTGGCCTTGTCATTACCGGTATGTAAGGAAGACCTATCAGCAATTTTAAACATGAGAAAAAATAGAACGCAAAAAAGAGTTCAAATTTATGACGTTTAGCTTAAAATTAACAGCTTTAGAGAGTGAAGACAGAAAAAACCTGCTTTGGTCACTGCACATGAGCACTGCATATTTGTTCTGGTCTTTGAATATTCTGAAGAACACTGCTGTATATTCTTGTAAGTCCTTTGAAGCCAAAACTAGCAACCCAAATGGACCTATAGCTCCTTTAACTGATGCACCCAATTGGCTACAGAGCAACTGTGGATTTGTCCAGCTTGAGTCCAGAACTTCTGCCTTTTCAAACTCTGTTATCTCGAATGATATCTCAACATCTGCCTGCAAAACTTATCATAGTTTTCGAAATGAATATATATCGGACTTTATATCATATGAATGTATAGATAAGGTGATACATCTGCTGCCGCATTTCCCTCTTCATTACTTGTAAACCAAAAAACTAACCTGTGCAGCTGTGATACCAGTGACTTCAAGCACTGATCCTTCCTCTTAAAATTTGCTCGACCATTCAACCTGGTGTCCACGTAGCATTTCAATTTCAGCAATAGGCCATTGCACCAACTGTTTCCCAGATTTGTCTAGCCAAAGACTCCGAGGAATCGCCTGCAAAATGAGTTCAAGAAAAGAGTAACAATGACTTGAACACGACTTCCCATTCAAACAAATGAACAAATCTCTAAATTACCTGTAATCCAGACCAACCCTTCTTGATATCATCAGCCTCACTAGATGATTCATTAATCCATGCCCACAAAATCCTCCTGTTCTTAGCACTATCAAAGAAAGACTTTGAAGCATAAAATTTACCATAATCATATCTTAATCCTGAAACTTTATCTATTGAACCTGCTTCTGGGATAAACTTATCAGTGGTAACATCATATGTACCAATTATGTAACAATCAAATTTTGTATCAAATAAACTAGCCTTAATCACATGTTTAATGTTGGGTCCAGTTTTCGATGTATCAATGCCTATTAGACTATCGGTAGAAACTGGGAAAAAATCCGGGCACTCCCAAATTCCAGTACCCTCAACAGAATGTAATGGTTGTTCAGCTCTAGTCCAATTCACAAAATCTTTGCTTCTGTAAAGAAATACTAATCCCTTGTCCTGAATTTCGCTTCCTATGACCACTCTCCACGTGCCATTGGGGCCTAGCCAAGCTGTGGAAGGGTCTCTAAAGGAGCTTGGATCAACATTTTCAGGGGGTTCCATCAGTGGATTTTCTGCAGACTTAACCCACTCTAAAAGGTAAGGGTCAGAAGAATTTTTGGGCAAAACCAGGTTCTGAACTTGAGTGTTTTTTGAGGCAATGCCAGTGTATAAAATGGCTGGTTCACCTCCAGGTAAAATTGTGGCAGAACCTGACCAGCAGCCGTTGATATCCGACGGCTGTGATGGGTACATGGCCGGATCATGGGGAATCCAATTAATCAGATCCGTTGATGTAGAATGTGCCCACACAATGCTGGGGTCCCACACTGCTGCTTGTGGATTGTATTGGTAGAACAAATGGTAAATTCCCTTGTAAATCATAGGAGCTGAAATAAAGAAATTTACATCAGTCCATTAATTGTAATGGTTGAAAATTGAAATTTTCATCACTTCAACACTTAACACTAACAGAAAGTCCGAAATCATAGACACTTCAACATTCAGTTCTACATTTAACCGTTCTAGATTGATTATTTCTTAACAGATTTGGTATAAAAACAATCAGTTTCAATGGGTAAAACATGAGCAGAAGATTAAAACTAACCATTTGGATCTGCATACGGAAACGTGCCGCCATCACATGTTCAAAGGATAAACATAAGAGATCACTAGTTAGAGATGTAGACAAGAGCAATAAGATTAACAAGCCAAGAAGATTATACATAAACAAAAGGAAAAAATTATTACCATTCATCCAATTCATGGGGGGCTGGAAATGATAACTGGTTCTGTAGGGTTGTGCTGAACAAGTTTGTTGAGAAGTATGAATGTTTCTGCAGATATTCTGTGAAGCTTCAAGTTGAAAGAAGCCATGGCCTAGCAGGAGAGTAAAGAGCAATAAGACTAGAGAAACACAAGAGTTGACCATGGTAGGTTAGCTTGGAAGAAGCTAATCGGTTTCTTTATAACAAGAACAAAAGTCATGGCTCATAAGTATGCCATTTAATTGTTAATTATTTCTGAGAAAGAGTACATTCCTCAACAATATACAGGGCCATCTTAATTGGTCAATTGGACTTGAACATTGCAAATTAAAAAAAGACTAGAGTCAAAATATTTAAAGACCTTGGAAGCTGCGTATTTGTCCCCTCAATACAGAAAAAGTCCCCATTCAGGCTATGTTTATTTGTTTATTCTTCTTGTATTGGTGACAAATGATGTCTTTCTGAACTTGCAAGTGGGACATTTTTAGATAAATATGCTGTCAACATCATGCATTTATAATTGTATATCTTTTGATGCAATTTGTCTTGCCAGATATTAGTTTATGTGAAAAAAGAAGACCCCACTTACATTATCTGTAGTTTACTTTTCTCATCCTAACATATGTATAGAGAAGTTTCCTTAATTAATCTCAGTCCTTTGCCCTTCTTTTTTAGTTAAAATTATCATTTTTCATATCACCAAGAAAATAACTCACAATTAATACATAGGAATAAGTTGGACATAGAACAATTAATATGTTGATCTCTTTTATTCAAGATTGATACTTTTAGTACTAAACATCTCTTTCTTAGGATCCATCAGGTATGCTGATCCTCTGCTGTATTATTTCATTGATTCAGCTTGTTTCATGCTCCAGGCACTCAGGCTTGTGATCTTTACCTTCTCAGTTCCATAATTGAAAGCATACAATGGGCTTCTTCATCAATTGCCAAAGTTGGATAGACTCTAGCTGTGATGCAAGCTTTGCCACCTGCGCCGAAGCTCTCCACTATAGAGTGATCAACTGTAGAAGTGATGATTAGAAGTGCACTAAATTACTGCTGGATTTCTAATAAGTTCAATAGTTGTAAATAATGTTCATGTATCATGATCAACTTGATAATCTCTTGAAGTTATGTCTTAAGTTTGTAGTGTATTCTTGTGTGGTTATTTCAACTCACCAGGCTCCTTAATGACAGCTTTTCATGAACTGGATCCACATCCAGAAAAGCTCCAAAGTGCCTTGTCATTACCGGTATGTAAGGAAGACCTATCAGCAATTTAAACATGAGAAAAATAAACGCAAAAAAGAGTTCAAATTTATGACGTTTAGCTTAAAATTAACAGCTTTAGAGAGTGAGACAGAAAAAACCTGCTTTGGTCACTGCACATGAGCACTGCATATTTGTTCTGGTCTTGGAATATTCTGAAGAACACTGCTGTATATTCTTGTAAGTCCTTTGAAGCCAAACTAGCAACCAAATGGACCTATAGCTCCTTTAACTGAGCATGCCCAATTGCTACAGAGCAACTGTGGATTTGTCCAGCTTGAGTCCAGAACTTCTGCCTTTTCAAACTCTGTTATCTCGATGATATCCTCAACATCTGCCTGCAAAACTTCATAGTTTTCGAAAATATATATCGACGTTATCATATAATGTATAGATAAGTGTATCATCTGCTGCCGCATTTCCCTCTTCATTACTTGTAAACGAAAAAACTAACCTGTGCTGCTGTGATACCAGTGACTTCAAGCACTGATCGTTTCCTCTAACAATTTGCTCGACATTCACCTGGTGTCCACGTAGCATTTCAATTTCAGCAATAGGCCATTGCACCACTGTTTCCCAGATTTGTCTAGCCAAAGACTCCGAGGAATCGCCTGCAAAATGAATCAAGAAAAGAGTAACAATACTTGAACACGACTTCCATTCAAACAAATGAACAAATCTCTAAATTACCTGTAATCCAACCAACCCTTCTTGATACATCAGCCTCACTAGATGATTCTTAATCCATGCCCACAAATCCCCTGTCTTAGCACTATCAAAGAGACTTTGAAGCATAAAATTTACCATAATCATATCTAATCCTGAAACTTTATCTATTGAACCTGCTTCTGGGATAAACTTATCGTGGTAACATCATATGTACCAATTATGTAACAATCAAATTTTGTATCAATAAACTAGCCTTACATGTTTATGTTGGGTCCAGTTTTCGATGTATCACCTATTAGACTATCGGTAGAAACTGGGAAAAAATCCGGGCACTCCCAATTCCAGTACCCTCACCAGAATGTAATGGTGTTCAGCTCTAGTCCAATTCACAAAATCTTTGCTTCTGTAAAGAAATACTAATCCCTTGTCCTGAATTTCGCTTCCTATGACCACTCTCCACGTGCCATTGGGCCTAGCCAAGCTGTGGAAGTCTCTAAAGGATTGGATCAACATTTTCAGGGGTTCCATCAGTGGATTTTCTGCAGACTTAACCCACTCAAAAGGTAAGGGTCAGAAGAATTTTTGGGCAAAACCAGGTTCTGAACTTGGTGTTTTGAGGCAAGGCCAGTGTATAAAATGGCTGGTTCACCTCCAGTAAAATTGTGGCAGAACCTGACCAGCAGCCGTTGATATCCGACGGCTTTGATGGGTACATGGCCGGATCATGGGGAATCCAATTAATCAGATCCGTTGATGTAGAATGTGCCCACACACTGGGTCCCACACCGCTCTTGTGTTGTATTGTAAAACAAATGGTAAATTCCCTTGTAAATCATAGGAGCTGAAATAAAGAAATTTACATCAGTCCATTAATTATCATGTTGAAAATTGAAATTTTCATCACTTCAACACTTAACACTAACAGAAAGTCCGAAATAATAGACACTTCAACTCAGTTCTACATAAACCGTTCTAGATTGATTATTCTTAACAGATTTGGTATAAAAACAATCAGTTTCAATGGGTAAAACAGTACAGAATTAAAACAACCATTTGGATCTGCATACCGAAACGCGCCGCCATCACATGTTCAAGGAAACACAAGTATCACCAGTTAGAGTGTAGTCAAAAGGAATAAGATTACAAGTCAAGAAAAAAAAATATATATTACCATTCATCCAATTCATGAGGGGCTGGAAATGGTAACTGGTTCGTAAGGTTGATCTGAACAAGTTTGTTGAGAAGTATGAATGTTTCTGCAGATATTCTGTGAAGCTTCAAGTTGAAAGAAGCCAGGGCCTAGCAGGAGATAAAGAGCAATAAGACTAGAGAAACAAGAGTTGGCCATGGTGGGTTAGCTCGGAAGAAGCTAATTGGTTTCTTTATAGCAAGAACAAAACATTGTTAATTATTTCTGAAAGAGAATTACTCCTCAACAATATGCAGGGACATTTTTATTGGTCAATTGGACTTGAACAGGCAAAGTAAAAAAAGACTAGAATCCAAATATTAAAGACCTTGGAAGCTGCGTGTGTGTCCCCACAATACTAGAAAATCTCCATTCAAGATTTGTTTATTTCTGGTCATAGTGAACAATGATATCTGTCTGTACTTTTAGTAAATACTGTCATATCATGCATTTATAGTTGTATATCTTTTGATGAATTTGTCTTGCCAGATATAGTATATGTGAAAAAGAAGACCCCACTTACATTGTCTGTTTTGTTAATTTTCTATCCTAACATATGTACAGAGAAGTTTCCTTGATTAACTCAGCCCTTTGCCCTTTTTTTTTTTAAATAAAATTATCATTTTTCATATACCAGGAGATAACACACAATTATACATAGAATAAGTTGGAGATAGAACATTAATTGTTGATCTTTTTTTTTGTAATATAACTATTATAGTTTTGCATCAGTTAATTTGAGCTGTCTTCATGCTCCAGGCACTCGCTTGTGATGTTTATCTCTCGTTCCATAATTGAATGCATACAGTGAGCTTCATCATCAATTGCAGGTTGGATAAACTCTGGCTGTGATACAAGCTTGCCTCCCCCACAAAACTCTCCACTATAGAGTGATCAATCTGCAAATATTCAAGTAGTATTAAACATTCATTTCAGGAATGTCCCTGATCAACTTCGGCATATCACAGTTTCGATCTGATAATGTTATAGAATCGTATATGTTTATTACAAATGTTGATATGAACTCACCAGGCTTCTTAATGACAGCTTCTATGAACTGGATCCACATCTAGGAAAGCTCCATAGGTGGTCTTATCATTATCATTATTCAAGGAAGACCTATCAATTCCAAAAAGAGTTAAATATACTTTTGGTAAGACATATATGCTTCGAGAGAGTGAAATTAGGAGAGAAAAGACCTGTTTTGGTCACTGCACATGACACTGCATATTTGTTCTTGTTTTTGAAAATTCTGAGAACACTGCTGTGTACTCTTTTAAGTTCTTTGAAGCCAAAACTAGCAACCCAAATGGACCTAGAGCTCCTTTAACTGATGCACCCTTTTGGCTACAAAGCAACTGTGGATTGGTCCAATTTGGATCCAGCACTTCTGCTTTCTCAAATTTAGTTATCTCAAATGATATCTCAACATCTGCCTATGAAACAATAGAAACCAATAGATTAGAAGATTATTCATAACTGTTTTAGGCTTTTGGCTTAATGGGTTGGGACAAAAGAAGCATATAGTTTAAGTTGAGCTAAAAATGCTTTAGTTAAGATAATGGTCAAAACTAATAAACCTTTTTAGGGTTTTACTTATTAATGATACTCTCGTCTAATATACTTATGAGTCAATCTAAGGCCCCACTAGGTAGAAACTGTCTATTTTGGGTTTCATGCAAGCATCCTTTACCCAAAACACGCCTACTTAGTTAAGAAAACCCAAACCTAATAACCGAATTCTAAACTCATTCGTTAGCGATGTAAGATGTGACAATATGTCTCTTTTGTTACTTAATTATAATCCTAGTACAAACCTGCGCAGCTGTGATACCACTGACTGGAAGCAGTGATTTTCCCCGCAACAATTTGCTTGGTAAATTCACTTTCTTTGCTCTTAGTTTCTCAACTTCAGGTATAGGCCATTGCACCAATTGTTTCCCTGATTTATCAAGCCAAAGACCCCTAGGAATTGCCTGCAAAATGAGTCCAAAATATTTTAATTAGAATATTAAAATTTCATATACTACTTTATGGTTCAAGTTGTAACATGGTCAGAATATTTAAATCTTATTATTTAATTCATCAAGTTGTAACATGGTAATCTAAACCTAGATCTCTATCTGACCATCATAATCAACTTGAAATCTGCAACAAAGTTATTTAAAGAATAATCAAATCAATAATTTACCTGTAATCCAGACCAACCCTTCTTGATATCATCTTCTTGAGTAGATGATTCATTAATCCATCCCAACAAAATCCGCCGGTTCTTAGCACTATCAAAGAAAGTCTTGGAAGCATAAAACTTTCCATAATCATATCTTAATGCTGAAACACCGTTCATGGAACCTTCTTCTGGTATGAACTTATCCGCAGTCACATTATATGTACCAATGATGTAACAATCATGTGGAGTTTTACCTACACTTGCCTTAAGCACATGCTTAGTGTTCAATCCAATTATCGATGTATCGACGCCCTTTCGACTGTTGGTAGAAACTGGGAAAAAATCCGGGCACTCCCACATTCCGGAATGGTTTTCTGAATGTAACGGATGTTTTGCTTTAGTCCAATATACAAAATCTTTGCTTCTGTAAAGAAATGCTAACCCCTTGTCCTTAATTTGGCTTCCTATTATCACTCTCCATCTCTTATCAGGGCCTAACCAGGCGGTGGTAGGGTCTCTGAAAAAGCTCGCATTGATATGATTCGTTGCAGTGGGAGCCATTAGAGGATTTTTGGGGGACTTAACCCATTCTCTAAGGTAAGGGTCAGATAAATTCTTGGGCACAGCCAAGTTCTGGACTTGTTTGTTATCTGGGTCAATTCCTGTGTACAGGATGGCTGGTTTGCCTCCAGGCAGCATTGTGGCAGAACCTGACCAGCAACCGTTGATATCAGACGGCTGTGTTGGGTAGATGGCTGCATCATGTGGGGTCCAATTAATCAGGTCCGTTGATGTAGAGTGACCCCACACAATGTTGCCCCACACTGCACCTTTTGGATTGTATTGGTAGAACAGGTGATATATTCCCTTGTAAATCATAGGCCCTGAAATTTACGCTAATCCATTATAGCTTCAGATTTTCCTCAAGTCAACACATAGAAAAGAATTAGAACAACAGCAGAGAAGTAAAACTAACCATTGGGATCTGCAAATCCGTAGTGCAATCATTTGTCCATGCCACAAAACAAGAACAAGAATCAGCTGGAGCAAGCGTAAGAGATAAAAACAAGAACAATGAAACTGACAGAAGGAAGAAAAAAAATACCATTCATCCAATTCTTGGGAGGCTGGAAATGGTAGCCAGTCCTGTAAGGTTGACTTGTAGAAGTAGATTGAGATGTATACAGGTTTCTGTAAAAAGGGTTTGATGCCTGAAGCTCAACAACACCATGGCTTAGGATGACAGAGAAGAACAAGATCAGAGAAGTACACGACTTGGCCATGTTTTGGTATCCTGGCAAGTTCATTTTGAATTATGAGAAGAGCACCACATGCAGGATATATTTATTTTTAAGCAATATTTATGCAGGGCTAATTTAAAGAGAGAAGACTCAAAGTTCAAGAGCGAGATACCTTGGAAGCTGTGTATATGTCTCACATTACAGAAAGTCAGAAGTCTAGCTGTTTATTTATTCTTCCGGCAACAATGAAAAATAATCTCTCTATGTGCAAGTGCGACTTATCATGTACCTTACAATAATCAAGTTGTTTGAGTTTAAATCACTGAAATTACATTATTTTATCCAAATTGAGTTTATCATCTATTAATAACAACTTGTTAGAGTTGATGACCACTTTGACAATAGAGGTCGTAGCTCAAGGTCAAAGCTCGTTTGCACGATGCACACGGGGTTCCAGTTTTGGGTGAACCAAGATAATTACACATGTTTTCTTCTTCTTTGCTAGTTTGATATTTGTGTGTGGTTATTTGTTTCTTTGATTCAAAACGTTATTTAGTTCTTTCACAACTAACTATAGGTTAATTTTATAAATCAAGAATGACGAAGCGACGATCATAACTAAAACTTGCATTACAAGTTATCGATGGAAAAGCATAAGTATAAAAGATACTCCCAAAAGAACAATATATTATAGATAAAACAATACAATATGTAGTAGATATGGAAATAATTATGAGAAAACTAAAACAAAATTAGATAGATCCCTTTTATTTGTAGATATCTTATTGTAGGAATCTATTATGGTATACCAGTCATTGCTGGGTATTCCCTTTTTTTATGGGGTAATTTTAGTTTTCTTCAGGCTCCTTGCAGTAAGGCTTGTAATGTTTGTCTTCTCAGTTCCATAATTGAATGCATACAAGTGAGCTGCATTATCAATTGCCACGGTTGGACAAACTCTAGCTTTGAAGCCTGCTTTGCCTCCTCCGGCAAAGCTCTCAACTGTAGAGTGATCAATCTGTAAATGTAGTGAACAAGAAGTTGTTAAAAACTTGACATTAGGCATGAAATTTTATGGTGTGTTCTGAAATGTTTGTATAAACTCACCAGGCTCCTTAGTGATAGTTTCCCATGAAGTGGATCCACATCTGGAAAAGCTCCATAGGTGGTCTTCTCACTGTGATTGTCTAAGGAAGAACTGTCATACCAAATATAAGAAAGTAAAAGAATCAGAAATATGAGGTTTAGATTTCTTCGCAAGAGGTAAGGCTCATTATGTCTCCCGACAAGGTGTCGAGATTTATCCTGGACTTTGAAAATTCTGAAACTCTTTTAAGTCCCTTGAAGCTAAAACTAGCAACCCAAATGGACCTAGAGCACCTTTAACTGATGCACCCTTTTGTTTGCAGAGCAACTCTGGATTGGTCCAACTTGGTTCCCTCTCTTCTGCTTTCTCAAAGTCAGTTATCTTAAATGATATCTCAACATCTGCCTGGAAGACAAAAAAAACACCAAGAGATTACCAAAAAATATACATAATCATATATGTGGTAGGCTTTCACCAACCAAAACTAGTATACCTTGTAGGGTTTTTTCCAAAATAGATATACCACGTTATTCATACGTCAGTCTCATACACATATATTGTATCATCTACGAGTACGCTCTTTATTACTTTGATTATAAACATAAAACTAACCTGTGCGGC